AATGACAATGCTATGGAGTGTTTAGTAACGGGAATAAGCGGGCCACACTAATAATCAAACATAACTGACGAAACAAACACAATCATAGAAACCAAACATACATGTTATTAACTGATATGGATCTGTGGCAAACTGGCAAATCATTTGTACGATATTGTCTTTAATTTTTCGACAATATTTAAACTGCTAATAATATTGGAAGTTAGTCGGTTCTGGGCCTCATTTTCTCACAAATAAAATAGCGAAAAATATTATCTGGATATTGTCTTAGGCAACTTAGTTGACATAATTTCGAAATAATTTGCAACAGATCCGTACATTAGACACAAATTACATGCTTTAATTACAACACAATACCCGAAACCGTTAGAAACAACTTAGGCAAACTTTTACAGGAGTTAATAAAATAAACCATGAGTTCGTTAAAAGAAAGTATTTCCAAAAAATTCTCTTCCAATGTACCTGACTTCACTGCAGCACTCGCAGTTGTCTGTGGCGGTCCATCGCCCAAAATCGGTGTCGGCGAAGACGATGTGACGCCCAAATTGGATCCTGAGGTCGATGTCGCAGCTCCGCCAGACGGTTGCATGTTCGCGTTGGTTGCAGCATTGGCAGCAACTTCAACATCGACGAGTGTCGAATGTTCGCTTAATTGTTGTGTAGGTGTCGACGTTGATTCGCTCGGGGCCAGTGGTGCCATTGGCAGACCGACACCTATGCTCATACTGCCGGCTTTTGAAGTGTCAAATACATCGTTTTGCTGGTCCAGTTCATGCAGCCAAGTGTCGTCGTCGTCTTGTTGCAGAGTGCCGGTTGAAGTGTTCAAAACCGCTGCAGTCGAAAGTAAGGAGGAGAGAGTAACATTTTGACCAGCGCTCACTGATGTTGTTGTTTGATTTATTGTTGTATCAACCGCCTTAGTGGGCTTATGTCGTGAGCGTCCCGATTCTGGAGGAGGTAAGAGATTGTAAGTCTGAAACAAACCGAATGCCTGATTAGTAGTACAATAAAGGATAAAACCATGCAGTTGCTTACGGGAAAGTTGGTAAATGAGTCTCCAAAAGGATCGTCTTCGTTAACTGACTTCCCAGAGACGCCGGCTACTGCAGGTTGCCCTGGCTCATTGGGTGTAATGCGTTCCATTTGTGTGATGCCGCGTTGCAAAGAGCTTAACTCTTGCTCCAAATCAACCAAATCGGCTACGGATTCAGGTGACATCTAAAAAAAGACGTATTTGTAAGTTTTAAAATATGCAGTTAATTGTGCTTTGTACGCAAAACCTCTTTCGCTGCTCCTTTGTTATCCAAATTAACACCCAATCTATTTGAGGCTATTGCACGACTTTGCCCACCGATACCACTTAACATGGACAGCGTGCTACCACCCCCGCCACCTCCACTGCTGCTAAGATCGTTATGAGCACTCAAGCCGGTTCCAATACCGCCAGCGGCGGACTTAAGCGACGACAATGAGGCAAGCTGATGTTCATGTATGGATTTCGATTGTATTTGCTGCCGCGCCAATTCGATTTCTTTCTTCTTCAATTCGAAAACAACCTGAAAGAGATCGCGCATTGCCAGCACGACCTTGAAATAGTGAAAATAATTTAGTTATTTCAAGTTATTAGTTATTTAAACAATTGAATCGCTACCTGACTAGCCGCTTTGTCAGTCTTTATACCGAAAAAACGGTGTCCGCTGTCCGGTGAGCCAAATATATAGCCAAACGCTCGTGAATCGGTCATATCCTGCGCAATGAAGGATATTTTGTGCACCGGATGATGATACAGAGAATCTCCTGTTTTTTCATCACGGAGTCTCAGCCCATCGATTGTCACGTGTATCGTTATGCGTTGTTTATGTTCGCCGGCTGCGCGTATGGCTATTTTAAGATCTTGCAGAGCTTCTTGGCACATACGATCACCGCGCGCCTCTCCCACCTCAAGTATGCCAATAAGCTTCGCTTTGAATTGAACGCCATCGCCGAAAAATCGACCTGGATCATTGCGATCTATTATTTGAAAATGAAATTTATTAAAGTTATAAATTACAACAACGGTTGGATATATTTCTCAAAAATTATCGTATCTAACTTTTATTTTCTATTTTTTACTCAATCTATTTGATTATTATAAAAAAGTGTATTATGACAATATAATTTATTCTTAAACTATATCATATATGTATAGCTACTAATTTTAAAACTTTAAATAAATAAATAAAATTTTCTCAAATATTGTTGAAAATAATTAAAATTCAAATAAGTACATGAAGCTGAAATAACTAATAAAAATAAATTTGATTTGAATACAAATGCTAACGTTTTGCGTAATTCGTCTCCTGAACGCCGCTACCGCTACCGCCGCTGCCCACACCAACCGAGGAGAGCGTTGAAGCGAGCGATAAATTTGATGATGCGGCCGATAGTTTCGAAACCAATGACTTAACCATAGTCTCTGATGACAATGTTTAGCGCTCAATCGCGCTCAACCCCAATCACTATGCTAAATACTATTTTGTTAAGCTTATTGTGGTGATTGCCTAATGTGAGTATTACACTCGCAATGACATTTCTTGATGGAAATCCAATATGTTCCGTGACGACTAAGCTGCCGTAACGTGTTTAAATTGACAATCTGTGAAATGCGATCTGTAGGCTTTTGAGTTATCTATTATTTTCGATTCTATGGAATATCTCCACTGCGACTATTTGGAATGTTTTATTGTGTTCTTTCGTTTTCATCTGATTTGATCAATTCTCACTGCATGAGCTACAAATTGGGCTTATTTATTATATGTACGTTGCTTAGTTTGCTTGTTGTTATTGCTTAATGTTGCTATTATTGTTAAAATCAAAGTGGTTTATTCTTACTATTACAATATATGTGCAAGTGTTTTGTTGTTACACATGAATGCATTTTCGGAAGCTGAAATAAATGTGTGTATTAACACCCAATCAGGCGTCAACGATCACATCATCAGCCTTCATACCATCCCCAGCGAATTCAAGTAGCGCCACATTGCCGGCGCTCACCCGCTACCGCTGCAGTTTATCTCCAATCGTTGATTTGTTCTCACATACATATATTCATTTATTCGTACAATTTAATGTGGGACAAGCCTTTGCAGGGTGCGTTGTGTGTTGAACTGAAGGCTTCCTCTGCCTTAAGCAGTGCTTATTTTATTTTATTCGGTCGATAGCGCAAAATTGTTCTACAGCCACCGCGTACACTGTTTGCTTCTCATAAAGATGTATGTGTGTAAGTATGTCTATCTACGTACGTAGATGAATGGTATTGTAGGTTCCCCACACTCCGTCGACCGAGTGATTGTAGGTGCGCTTGTACTATTATTTGCAGGCAGTAGCGTAGTGTGTCTGGAAGTGACAGGCAGTCACAGAAATACACACTCATACATATTTAGGAATGTAACTATGTGGGTGCACACATATGCACAAGTATAAACAAAACGGTTCCTTTAGTATCTCGCTGTCGTCTAGGTTGACATTGTCTTGTACGTATTGTTTATATTTATTCAATGATTACGATGTCCAGGCGAAATGGCAATTGTCAATTTTGCTTTCCTTCGTTCTTTTGTCTGCTAATAATATATATATATATATATATATGTACATGAATAAACGTCAGTTCCTACGAGTTGAATTCGTAACAACTATTCAACTTTGCCGCATTCCTTCGTCAGAAGCGGGCATCATCACTATCTACATTTGAACATACATATGTATTTCCTTTCGTGCTGTCGCAGTGTCTCCTTTGCGTTTATTGATTTTTCAGTGTAGATTTTTTCCAACAGCAATTCAATATTATTATTACGGACATAACTAGAGATTCACTTAAACTTTCCTCAATGCACTATTTCTGTAACGTAGATGATAATTCAAAGAGTACTATTAGTATAACATGTTCACTTTTAAATTTTCTCAGCAAGCGTTGCAACTGTTCCGCGATCAATATTTGCGCATTTCAAAGTTGTTTGGTGAATAAACCATTAAATTTATCTTATTCAATATGTTATGGATTCCCGATGTTATTTATTTATTCTATTTTATTTTAAACACACTTTAATATCAATTGTTCAGTCTGTTTAATTCTTAAATGTAAATAAAATCACTGTGCAGCTGCATGTCAAACAATAAATGCACCTAATAAATAAACTATGAATACAAATGTATCTGCAGCAGAATGTTCTGCCTGCTACTGTTTCGTGTGGCCAAATGTCAGATACATTTTTTTTTATGTGTGTGTGCACTGCAGGTGCAGATACTTCAACCAGAGTTGTATTTGCCATGACGTTTTGTTTTAGCAACTCCCAGCATTAAAATGATATAAGAAAATATTCGCTCGTAAATTTTTGAAATAAATAAACAAAAACGTAAATCAATAGAGAAATACAGTAATAACAAGAGGACAAAGTTAAAATATTGCAGTAAAAGGCAGTAGGCACTTACATTTGCAGGGACTGGTCTTTTTGCGGAGCGTTTGCATATTGGTCTCTTTCCAGTTTCTCTTCGCCAATTTGCGAAGTTTCTTATATTGTGTTGCTATCTTTGGTTTATCTTCGAGGAATACTTCACCTTTGAATACTTTGTAGTATTTGCGAACGTATCAGTAAACTAAATAATTTTATCTCTGGTACTTGGAAGGAGATTTTCAAACAATAATAATATCACAGTAAAATTAGAAAGTATTATTATTGGCGCTTAATATTAACCATATAACTTACTACATATTTTGTGATTATTAATCAATTTATTCAAACACATTTTTATCAGTAGCAGTTTATACCACATTTTATTTAATATTTTAAGATTCACCTATTGAGCTATTTGGTTTTTTTTTGTTTTCAAACCGTTGAACATTGCGTACTAAATGCATACGGCTTAATCTAACGTAATGTCATGGAAACCTGTCAACACTTCCTTCAGTCACAATTCATCCGCTTTCATCATTATTTATTTGTTTTGTTTACTTTCCAAAGGATATCGTGGTTTGTTTTTGGGTATTTTTATTGCACACCTCTTTGTTTGTATTTTTATTCTTGTTTTTGTTGTTGTGTCGTATTCTTGCTCGATGTGTAGATGAGCAATGTGATAGCTTTTTAGCCGACAGCCTGACGGTATGACTGCATCACCGGCATTTCGAATACAGCAACTTTTATCGATTTTTCACTGTATCAACGCCTCGGTGTAGTATTTAGGCTGAGAAGGCTCGGTGCACCGTATGTGACGGGCGAGAGGGATGTTGTTCTTTTTATTAATATTGCTTTGGGTCATTTGCTCTTTATGTAAAATGGAAAAAATTAATAAGCACTTTTTGTTCATGGTAATTGACATTCAACTTTTTAGTATACACAGAATCATCTACTACACCTTGCTAAGGAAATTTTCAAAGACCAGCGACGTTCATTGTAACACTTCCGTTTACTAAAGTAATTGTACCGTAAATTCGAGCACTCTTTTTTGTTAACTCGTTTCTATGCGTTGCAGCTTCATTGTTTAATTTATTTGTTTAGGAATACAAATTTTTCAGTGCAACGCCTTTCATTGTCGCCAAACCGATGACCGAATTACTACTTTCACTGGAAATTCAATGACGGAAAAGGATATGGGAAGGAAGGATAATAAGTGATTGACACCTTGCCATTGTGAATGGTTGATGCAAACTAATTTTTTTTTTCAAAAGTGCTAGCGCAATTAGTCAAATATTTTTATTTTATCTATTTATTCTCGAGATAATCTCCTCAAGTTGAATAGGAATCAAAATATATGAGAGCACTGTTTTTATTTGCAGGATGTTTTGAAATGGTTTCTAATGATATTGTGAATATTAATGTTTCCACCAGATGTGTTTAACGATGGCTGTGTTTATTTGGAGAATATAAATTATAAACGAATTTATCGATGTGCTTGCTGGAAATATCTGAAAGGCCAAATATAAATTTATTATTGTTTGCCCTTTCCTCGATAAAATATACAAAATAACATTAACAGGTAACACTACACCAATTAAAAACTTATCCCTGTTAACGTTTTTCTTAAGCTTAGCCAAAATAAATTTTGTGCAATAAATTAATATATGATTGTGCAGTATAATTCCACAAGTGTTCAATATTGTGAATTCCGCTGCCATAAGAAGCAACTCTGTGTTGGCTCCAGTGGCGGCAATTGGAGCGACTCCAGTTGATTCGTGTTTTTAATTTTGCTTTTATTCAGTCTTTCTCTTGCGCTGGTAGTGAACTTATTATTTTATACTTATCGCGCAACAGTTAAATACCGTTTATTAAATTTGAAAATATACCTTCAAGAAGGAACTCGGGAATGTTAATATCATTAATGAAATAAATATATATAACAAAAGGCAATTAGATAAAACTACTCAATTGTGACAATCCAATTAGGAATTTTTGCATTGTGGAAGCTATAAATATTTCCAAATTGGTTATAACTTGATACCGGACTCAGCCATTTGCCGTCGATCGTGTCGCGTTTTGTTACTTTAGTAGTAAGTGCACAGAGCAGAAAAAGAATTGGCAAAGCTGAAAAAGTGTGTAAACGAAAAGAGCAGATCTAAAAAGTCGAATTCTTGTAAAGGTTCACCCAAGCAACACAGCCAGTGCACAAACAACATCGGCTGACACCAACTATATTTTTCTGATTGAATTCCTAAATTCGGTCTGTTGGGTGTTTTCAGTCACTTTTCAATTCTATAGTTTATTGAAAACCAGCACTAGATATTAGAAATTTTACTACAACATAAATTTGGGACCAAATTTTCTGCAAAATAATTATTTGATCGGTGAACCAATGCAAAAGTCTTAAAAATTGTAACGAGTTTAGTGTGTGTGATATAATTGAATAAATGCAATTAAGATTTTTGATTTCCAACCGCAGTTCCAAGTTACACGAATTGCAGGGCTTTCTGAGCTACATCCCGGTGAAAGGTTAATTACAATTAAAAAAAAATAGCATCTGTAGTTGACATTATAGTGCGCACGCGCGATCCACTGCATCAACAGGCAAATAAACAGCGAAGCAAAGGAATACCAGTAGCCGCAACCAAACACTAGAAGAGAAGTCGCAAAATGAATAAAACTTGTGCTCGCTGTCAGAAAGTGGTGTATCCCATCGAAGAGTTAAAATGTTTGGATAAAGTGAGTTAAAGTTTTACCTTTCGTTTAATCAATTCATAATAATATAAATGAATATCAGGTGGAAACTAGTTGTACATACATATGCAATATTTATAAATTCTTATAAGTTGGTTTTCTGCGGCTGGGATCTGGTTGCGTTTCCCAGTTGACATGTGCAAAAACGGGACAACAGGTGTGTCCAAAAAATTGTCAGTCTCCCTGTTGTATTTGAACTTTTTTCAAGAGTTGAGAACAGTTTGCAAATTATCTGTTTATGGAAAAGTATTGTATTTATCTACAATTTTAAATGATATTTCCTTTTATTGCATGAGAAATTATTTTTAATGTGGTTGTTTAAAAATATTCCGATTGTGGTGCGCGCAGTTAGACATCCGAACAAAGAGACAAACGACGAAACAAACTTTACAACCCGACTTGATAAGACAACAATGACTTTAACAGTGAAAATGCTTCGTAACGTTTTTGTTTTCTTTGTGAATCGTAATTTACCTTCAAAATCATTATTAAAGCGCAGATTTTGCGTTTACTACGAGATTTTACTTTGAACTGAGAAGACACTGATTTGCAAGTGTAACCTCTTGTTATGGAATTATTATGCATTTGCTATATGGATGTATATGTATATATGGTAGTGAGATGAGTGGATATTTATTTTATTCTAATGACATTAACCGTTAACCTTATCTGGTGCAGGTGCACATATACCGAAGTTTTTTGAAACTTAAACCTAATTTTAATATCAAAACTTACATATGTATATTTATACATTGGTGTGTAGTTGCGTACACACTTTTCTGCAATAATGTAGAATTCTCATAACCGCAGACCGGAAGCGAATTATTCTTGCAATTTTTTACATACATATCTGTGCAAATGTATATTAGTACTTGTACAAATTGGAAGTCATTCACAAATAATTCTTTTGCTTGCGTTTTTTTTACTTTTGCTTAATTTACTGTGAAAGCTACTTACTTTAGTTCCTATAATAATTCTACCATTCATTGCTTCGCACTACTTGAATGCCTATTGAATAGAAAAGCTTGGCATTGTAGTAAAAAAAAAAAGCATGCACTTAAATAAAGAATTTCGTGAAATTATCAAATCACTTTTTATGCATGCAATTTGCTAAGTGGAGCACTGTTGTATCATATGTATGGACATTGGCGGTCAAATAGTGCACATATAGATTAGTGGGACTAAGCATACTGATGTGATGACGCAGCTGCTTAGGTTGCCGACTGTTAATGCCGAATGCTGTGGAGCAGCAGGGTCTAACTCGTTGGCTTGTTGCTGATCTCATATTACCAGCACGATTTACACACACCAGGCAGCTAGATACAAATGTATGTACAAATATGAGAAGTATATTTTAGAGAGTTATACGGTATGCGAGTGAAGTCTTCCTGGTAGTCAACGAGTCGTTAGTCGCTGCTCGTGGAGCCGGTTTATTGGCTTACTCGCTACATCGGCGTCTGGGAAATAAGCACATACAACATCTGTAGTGTTAAATACACTAAAAGAACTAACATAATTTCTTTATTTAATTAAATTATCTGTATGCTGTGATATCTGTCTGACTCGGTTTCTTGTTCTGAGATGACGTGAGAAAATGTGGTTTTTTGCTGCTCTACTGGTTGCGTCGCACAGCTTATACAATACAAAAATAGCGCTGGAAGAACTAGCTGAGAAGTTAGGATAATTATAGAATTTATGTGATGGGATTGGCTGGTAATAGAGTGGTATATACAATATTATACATATGTACATAACGAATTACAGCGCAAATATAAAACACAAGTTAAGAAGGCAAAGTGGAAAGCAGAAATTTGTAATCCTGCAGGCGTAAATATGTAAGTTCTTCGCGTACAAATGAATACTAACGAGCTCGGCTGGTCGAATGATGGAGAAAATAAGGCGCTGCTGGCAATCAAATAAGGTCTTAATCAAATCTGACCACTAAAATGATGAATTCAAGAGTACGCGGCATCCTGTTGAGTTTTGGACTGCGCCACTGGCCTTACGCGTGGGCGCTGCCTTACTCTATCCGAACTTGAAACAGTTGCTTTACCATTGCATACTATACGAGTCGGTAGCTGGCAGTTATGCACAAGTACAAGTAGGCGCACAACATCAATTTCTACAACGATTTGTCTGCACTTTAGCAAATTCGAAAATGAGTAAAGCAAATACCAACAAACCTTGTTTTTCTTGCATTTGCGCTCATTTGCAAATGGCAAGAAATTGCTTTGAGGAACTCGGAATAGGTCTATTTACTTCACTTGCTTGCTTATACATATATACATACACACATAGGTCTCGTGCGATTTCTGAAAATCGTTTGGTTTGGTCTATGGCCTGTTCCGGTCTGGCCAGATTCCGAGTGTGCTGCGGAATGCTGCTGCTAGCGCTTACTTATACCATTACGAGTACGTGTATGTGTAGTTTTTCGGAATTCGCCACCAACCGACCTTGGGCATGCTTATTGCTTTATTATGGTTTCTTTACATTCTCTTGTTTTAATTTACTTAAGATCCAGTTTTCTGTGTCGTCAGCACATTTTTATGGTGTTGACTTTAAGTATTATTACCATATTATTATATTATATCATGTCGTTTTATATATAATATGTACATTGTACATATGAATTTATGTAAATGCTTAGTTTTTTATAGTAATTTTGGCAAGTTCTTTTTGCTCTGCATTTCACCTTTTCACACCTTTCTGTGGTTCTGTCATGCATACAACTGTTGTACAAAAAAAAAATGAAATCGATAAATATGCACAAAAGCCAATTGTTAATTCACAAAATGGAAAAATTTCATTAAAATTAGCGTTTGTTTTTTTTATACATGAAATACAGAATTAATAAATTATCGTAAAATCTGCAAATTGAACAAAAACTTTTTTGTTAAACAGCATGCGGATGAAGTCGCGAGCACAGCTAGTTATGTGTATGTATGTATGTTATACAAACTATTAGGATATTGAATTATAAGCTGTACACAGTAAATTTATAAAGGCAATAGGAATATTATAGAGGCTAGTTGGTAATTAATTAAACAGTGAAATAAAATATTTTATTCATAATTTAATTATTTGCATTATTTTTTAGGCATATACATTTCTTTAATGAAGAGAACTTTTTAGCTCGATAAACGCCTTCAAAAAATAAATATTTAATGTTTAATAAAGAAAATCATGTCTAAGTTCCCTAAATAGTTATATTAATTTATATTAATTATCAACATTAGTGCTATTATATTTAGCATGTTATATTTTAAAATAGCTTGAGGAGAATTTCATATGCAACAAAATTTTTTAATTTTTGAAGAAAAAGTTCTACAAGTCTATGAAGTGGTCTGGCAATTCTAATCTATTCAAGTCAGAATGTTTAAATATTTATGACACTTACTGCGCGGACACTTGTCGTGGCTTAAGTCCAATTTGTGCATGTTAGTTTTTGTTTGTCCATGGCTATTCGTTCCATCGTCTTATTTGAATTCAGTTGAGATCTTGCGCTCTAAGACAATTATAACTACACAAAATTATACACAAAACATGTTATGAGTATAACCAATTGCTTTTATTACATACAATATGCATCTACATACATGCATACTTTTATGTAATATACAATACATGGGCTTAGAAACTTGCAAATGCAAATAGAAATTCAATTAGATATAAAAATGTCATCATTAATTGTAGAGCTTAATTAACATCATCACTTTACATTTAAGCTTTCGAGGTATGTCATCTATATAAATAAATATATGTACATTTGTGTATACATTACATTATTGATCTCTCCTGTAAGCGAAATTAAAAACTAATTTGTATTAAA